AAGAGCAATTACAGCGTTATTTTTTTTCTTTAAGATTTTTTTATTTTTATTATTATTATCATTATTATTTAAGCGTGAAAAGGGGCGAGAGCTCTCTCTGCCACGTAGTTGAGAATAATAATCAATGACGTCATTTGAAAAAAAATAAAACAATAGGCGTGGCGGCCGCTGTAAAACATTTCAGCGGTTTAAGCTATTAGGATGTCAACAGAGCGCAATGAAGCGCACATGTTGTTATGGCGAATCACGTTTATGTACTACAATCTAAATCATATATTTACGAAGGATATGCCACTAATTGTTCCACAAGCACAGAGATAAGAGAAAAAGTGATTCGATTCAAAAGTTACGATGCATTATTTACGGTTATGTGTATCGTGAAGAGCTGGAGGTTTCCTAGAATGAAGATATTAAAATAGGTTTACAAGCTGTCGACAAAAGAATACCAAGGTAAASTCAAAAATTACTTAAATTAGGTGCATTGTTCAGACTTCATTCAAAAGCTGCATTGACACTGCAGTTAAGGATTTCTGCCGAGTGTTGACTAATTTATGCGTCTTGATATGATATCTTATTCAGTGGTTTTCGCATAAGCTTTCTATAAAGCTTGAATCCTTGAACTTACTTGCAAATTTAATCATCGGTTATGAACATATTCAAGTCGAATTATTCTTTGTGCCTTAACGGTTGTTTATGAGTCATGTTGATGCTACAGCGCGCACGTTTTTATTTGGTTTTTGTACGTACTCCCAGTCGTACCGATCTCATATGAATATAAATGTAAGCTTAAAATTAAATCAAAACTCGAGTGTTCAACGGAAAACATGTTGACTGTCTAGTAATTAATCCATGATGTTCAGAAATGCTTTAACACAATGGTCAGGTCGCAGCGCCAAAGAACATTGCTCGTTATTGGTTGGCTCAAAACCTCTGTATCAAAAACCCGATAGGAAAACAATTCATATGCTTTATAAATATACAACATAAGCTTAACGTACATGGATGGTAGGGGGTACATTCGGGTTTCTGGTTCGACGCATTTGGCTATTTTTAACGCGGAATTTAGGATATTGGATATTGTAAATTGACTCTTCTGTGGTAGACTGTAGTTTATTTAACTCAACATGTACACATGATGTAGGTTAGCGAGCGAACTAACGAACTAATTTACATATGACAAATATTACATGTGAAACTGTCAATCAACTGAACTAATTATATATGCACGTATCATTACAGATATTTTTTAACGCGGAATTTAGGATATTGGATATATTTTTTAGTGGTGAAAGTCAAAACATAAAAAGCAGATTTGACGAATTGTATTTAGAATCAGGGATGTCAACCCCTGAACTTTATATATCTGCCGGAAGTTGCCTTGATTATGTGTATGACGTCAACCAATGGGATTAGACATTGCATAATCAGTTTATATATTTTTCATGCGAGAGTATACGTAAGCAACACCTGTAGATATTTCGTTCTGTGCCGAAAGACTCGAGGAAACGCGACATGGCATTGAAGGTTTTCTTTGAAAATAAAAATCTACAATAATGGTTAATAATTAATATCATTCTATGAAAATATCATGCGTATCTGGGAGATTTAGGGCTAAAATCTTGAGACCGGGAGATTCGATCTGAAATTGGGAGTCTCCGGGCAAATTCGGGAGAGTTGACGTCCCTGTAGAATGATTTTTCTTGCCAGTTTACTATCACAGTTAGTTTGAAAATTTATTGTAATAGTATTGTGATAGGCAAAAACTGCTCAATAGCCACCACTAATTTAACAGTACAAACACCAAAACTATAGCCTGCGTAGTGGCCCTTAAGGGACTGGGGAGGGCTGAGCGAAGAATGTGGAGGAGAAAAAGGAAGGGGCTGCATAAGAGAACACCACAGTTTTTACAAAATGCCCCCTAATTAATAATTCAAAAGCCTGGAAAATTTAACTTGACAGTTGTCAAATTAAACCTATCATTAAGCGCTGTCAGTATGAGGTTGTGAGGTCAAGAGTTTCAGTTTATTTACTGTATTCGCCAATCATTGAAGATAACATCTGTTTCCCTTGTGCTAGAAAGGCAAATATATTTTGTAAATTCTATGAAGTTCTGGCAAAAGAAGTGCCACAGTTTCCCAATACTATTAAAGGTTCTCTTAAACAAAAATTCTTAACACCAACAGGAAAAAGTAAAGGCCAAAGCTTGTCACTGTTGCTCCTTGATTATTATATTGAAACCGCGGTTTCTTTTAAATCACGTAAAAAATGTTCTAACTGATTACGAAATCCTTAATTCTTCATCTCCCGCCATGATGGTAAATACGCCAAGTTGATCTGGTATCTATCACTTTGACATTTGATTGACAGCTTGTTCCTCTCRACCAATGGGGAATTTACGTCCATATTGCATTKTAGATTTTGKAAAACCTTGGGGGCCCTTCCTATTTTTCCTCCCCACTCCTTGCTCGGCCAGCCCTYCCCAATCCCCTTAGAGCTGCTACGCAGGCTACAAAACTATGAAATGGTTAACTAATGACATATTTCCTTTAGATAATCATCTGTGCTTATAACAGAAAACGAAGTCACCAACTTCTTAATGGCCATTGGAAGTGTTCTAAGTCGACGGCGCTTGCTTCCACGATTATTGGTCTTCATTATTATAGCTTCTATTATAAAACTGTTACTGGATAGCTCATTTTGGAAATTGACACTAAAAAAACATCCTTTACAGGMCAGAATTCATAGATTCCCAAGTGCACCAATAAAAACTGAAAATGAAACACATRCAGTAGGCAAAGTTAATGTTGATATTTGGAGAAAGATGTGCACACTCAACTTCAACAGTTTAAGACAATTTCCTTTGTTTCCGCTTTTCCCAAGCGAGAGGAAGTACCTGACGATACAAGATTCCTTTCGGGTTGACATCAAGGGTGAATGGACTTCAGTGCGTATTATGGGATATCTTCATCCACCAAAGACGGGGTACTATTTTTTCAATTTACGMTCGCCTTTCTTGTCTCAGTTATGGCTAAGCAACACAAGTGAACCAGGAAATRCTAGTAAAATAGCTTATACCTCATTCAATGTAGTCAATAATATTATATTCAACATAGGGAATTCTAAGGATCTTTCAGAACAGGTTTTCYTGGAGGAGGACTCAAAGTACTACTTTGAAATATTACAGGCTGTTAATGACCCCCCTGWTCATTTCCATGTAAATATGCATCATCTTGTGATGTACTGGATGCTACCAGACAGTARRTATTTCATCAAAATTGAAGGCAGCAAAGTATCTCCTTACTTTAATGTGTCATCATTTTACAAAACTCCAGAATCTTCCGCCACAAAAAACATATTACCAAGCCTTGAGCTTTCAGAACAAGAGGACATTGCTGTTGGAAAAGTRTTTCACTTGAATGAAAACAGAACTGCAGAGAGCAAARAGCCTGTATTCAGTTTAAARCAACCCTACATTAAAGATTTATTGGGAAAAYACTTGGACTTAAATGGCACTGAATATAACCGAGAAACTGTGGTCACTTTGCCTTTTTTGGGTAAATCTAGAGATGACATTGCTAAAGCTTTTGAAAGTTGTATTTATAATCCAGCTTATAAAAAAGGAAAAACTATAAAACGATATGAGGGAGTCTGGTCAACTTTTTTCCCTTCCATTTTCCCCAGTGATGGGAGTAGTTTGGCCAATTTTAAAATGCCTCCCAGGCATGGCTACAGTGAAATGATCTATGGCAACAATATTTTGAAAAAGAAAGATGTTATAAAGCTCATGAAAATCTTTATGGACAAATTGAACAGAGTTTTGCCAAGGTAACTTAGTAGAATGAATATAGGAAATGGCTGTGTGGTAACAGGGGGGTTGCATGAATATCACAAAAATTCAGGTTCACTCAAGCAAATTGGTCTCGTGGCTTAATCGTTAGGTTTAGGGAAAATATCGGGTTAGGCAAATCATAGCGTAGCCTCCTTTGCATGCAACTCTACTCTGTGGGATTCCTGTGTTAAGGCAAAAAAGCTGCCAGTTCTCGGTCAAGATTATGAACACAGGAAGACCAAGAAGAGAAAAATGTCAGTTTCTGTTGGAGTAGCCTGCGAAGGATGCTTATGCATAGCGTTAAGTCTAAAATTTTCTAAGTTCTTCTCCACATAATTGGGACATCAGAGACTTTGACAAGCACATCAGGGCCTTCTATGTGCACATCAGCGCCGTACATGCACAACCATATATGGAAGTGGTATGACAAACCCTTCTCAAAGCATGTGAATACATATTATCAGTGTGCTTGGGTTCCCTGTGGCCAATGTCAGCTTGGATGTTGTATTTGAGTRAAACAAAAGTGACATTGTRTTTTTGATTTTCAGGAAATACACYTTGAACAGTATCATCAGCATTGAGAGATTTAAGTCACAGCTCACTGAAGGAGAAAAATACCTCATAGAATTAGTCCTACGTCRTCATTCGAACAACAAACTATACCGCTTTTCAAAGTACTTTTTAATACGCCAAAGACAGAACCAAACAAGAWTGTGTTTACTTCAGAACCTTCAATGGAATCCTACAGCTTGGGTGAATGTTATTTTAAATGTTAAGGGCCAAGCGGGCTGGATTCTATCATTYATTCAAGAAATGGCAAGAATTTTGAAGCAGTCACATGATGAATATGTAAATTTTGTCATTGCTGATTATGGTAATGAGGGGATTGATGTTGCCAAAGAAATGAAAAGGTAGCCATGATAATTTCTTTCTTTACTGTAATTGTATTTGGGTTTCCTGTGTTATATTACACAGGAGCCATAATGAGAATAGACATTAGGAAGTTGTAGATGGTTAGACTTGAGTTTGTGTAGCAGGGGCATATCATCACATGCCTTTTCAAAGCAGAAGACTCCATTTTCAAATTTATAGCGAATAACCGCTGTTTTAGTTGAAAACATATTCTCTTGTGCAACGACCTTACAGAAAACAAAAGAATATCATTATTACAACAGYCTTGAAGATTTGCATWTTMCCCAAGTTGAGACTAACCCTGTATTCCCAAGAAACCTTAAGATTAAGCCATCTGGGAATACAGGGTTAGACTCAACTGGGGGAAAATGTAAATGTAAAAGAAATCTCCMCATTGATGCAGAGATCATAATAATTCACCAAAGAAAAGTCTTCTCATTTCTTATGATTCTTTTTTGTTTAAGAAATAGATTACAGCTAGTGATGTTATGTAACATCATAGAGAGAATACTATGTGAGGACACCCCCCTGTTCGTCATCAAGTGAGATTAATAGGCAGTTCTCAACAGAGTATAGGCAGTCTTCAACAGGTACAGTTTAGTCAGGGGGGCTCCCTTATAAAGGGCGCTGGGGTCTTTGTTGGAAGAAACCCTAAAAGGGACCTATATTCTGAGATGACGGGTGTGGGTGGGGGGTTATGAAATTTGACCCCTAAAAGGACTTGTCATTTTTAACTCGAAGATTGCGAAGCAATGGAACAGTTATAGGAGGGAGATAGATGATGGTGTGTGAGGTGAGGTGGACTAGTTAATAGGTCACTTATTTTTTCTGTAAACATACGGGCATTTAGAAGTACGTAACCAAGATGGCCAGGTGTTTTGATATAGAAATGGCTTTTTAAACACACAAAATTTGAATTTAAGTATTTTTATTTTATAGATTTTT